ATTTAATTGGTCAGTGGAGGAGCCAAGCATGGTGGTGCACTCCTATAATCCTAGCACTCGGGAAGCTGAGGCAGGAGGGTTTTTTTGTGTGGTACTAGAGATTGAACTCATGACCTTGTGCTTGCCAGGCAGGCACTTATGCCACTGAGCTAAATCCCAGCCCGTATTATTATTATTATTATTATTATTATTATTCTTTTGGTACTGGGGATCAAACTCTCAACTTTGCACTTAACAGGCAAGTGCTTGAGACACTGAGCTATATCCCCAGCCCATGCAGGATTCTTGCAAGTTTGAAACCAGCCTGAGCTGCAAAGTGAACTCAGTGCCAACCTGAACTGCATAGCGATACCCTGTCTCAGAAAAAAAAAAAATCCCATCAGTGGAGGTACCCTTTCTTCTTTGCTCTGCAGTAGTTGGTCCTCCTGGGTCACGAGCTGGTGAGACTCTTTTCCCATAGATTTGGGTAGCCTGTTGTACTTAGCTCAAGTTAATGAGATATTGTAAGGGTTTCAGGGTCTTTTGGTTGCTTATCATATGAGAGGATAGAAATTGAAGAGTCAGCGTGCCCCTGGAGCCAATTTATGCTTGGGCTCAAGAAAAGAAACTTCCCAGAACTGTTCCAACCACAAAAGTCAACCCTGCCCAGGAGGATACCTGATGAAGCCTGTATTACACTCTGCTGCTCCCACCTGGCTCACCTACAGAGCACCCCCCCATCAATCCTTAAAAACCTTTTCCCAGGCCAAACAGCAGCTCTCTTAGTCTACAAGGCAGCCCATCCCCAACCCAATAAAGCTCTCTCTCTGTCAGCAGAGTGTCTGGTTTGGCTTTGGGTCCATCGGTAAGGAGGATTCTCTGTAAAATAGAAGTAATAATCAGTCACTATGCTATTATTTGGTACAGTGAAATAACCGTCTTAGAACTCAGATTTCCAGGTAGTTAATCTTCCAGAAATATAGCTTCAGATCAGTGGTACTAAAGATTGAACCAAGGGGCTACATCACACCCTTCCTTTTTTTTTTTTTTTTTTTTTTTTTTTTTTGTCTTTTTCGTTTTTATCAGTACCAGGGATCGAACTCACGACTGCCTGCTTGCAAGGCAGGCGCTTATGCCACTGAGCTAAATCTCCAGCCCCCCACACCCTTCCTTTTTAAGAGATCACAATACAACTTGCAGAGGCCAGCCATAAACTTACAATTTTCCTGCCTCAGCCTCCCTAGTAGTTGGGATTACAGGCTTGTGCCACCACACTCTGCCTCAAATATCACTTAATTTACCTGATTGTCTGTGACCAACCAGAACTCTTCCCTCCTGTCATGGTTTGTATTTGGTTATCTCCTTAGAGCGTCATGTGGTCATGGGGGGCAGATTTTTCAAAGGTAGCTTAATCTAGCATTTGTGACTGGTTCATGGCCTAGTGCTGGGATTGGCAGTGTGAGTGCTGTGCCTGCCTTGGGGCAGATGGCCTGCTTATCACATAAGGGAGGAAAGGAGGTGAGCTTCTCTCTTTTGCCCTTTGGTTCTTGTTGCTTTTGGTATCTGCTGTGGCTGCCATGAAGTGTTGCCTCTCAGCCACACTACTCTGCCTTGGAACCAGCTGGGAATGAACTGAAATCTCCACAAACTGCTAAATAAGCCTTTTCTTCATTAATTTTGGTTGTGGGATACTTTGTTTCACCAAGAAAAGAAGAATAACCAAGGCAGAATTTGGTACCAGGAGGAGGCTGTGACTGTACCTAACCATGTGGTTCAAGAACCTCTGGGAATGGCTTGTGGGAAGTTTGGAAAAGTTCAGAGATGTCACCTGAAAGAGTGATCTGGAATGACTTAGATTTTTCTTTATGGAAGATTCTGGTCAGAGCTCAGAACACCAGAAAACCAATAAAGACCAGAATCAGGAGGTTTCTTCTGGGAAAGACAGTATTGGTTATTGGAGTCCAGACAATGTGTGTTATGGCTTGGCAGAAAGTTTGTCTGCCTTTTGCTTGTGTCCAGAGACTTTGTCTGAGATGGAGATTAAGGGCAAAAAACTACTCTGGCAGAAGAAATTTAAGGCATGGCTATTTTGGGAGGCTTTTAGCCAGATTTATGTTGCAAATCAAGAGCCAAGAGCACAGCAGGATGATTTGAAACATTGTGAGTATGGCCAGAAAGAAAGCTCCAGTAAAGCTCTGCACTGAAAAGATAAAGCTGAAATCTCGATTGCTGAGAAATAACAGGAGAATATAAAAGATGGGCTGGGGGGCATTACAGGAAGTGGCAAGTCTCCACCCTTTGCAGCCTCAAAAATGCCAAAGTGAAAGACTTCACTTTGAGGAGAGAGCCACAGAGCACCATGTTCCAAAGTGGCCACACCAGATTCCAGAATAGCAGCAGCATAGAGAATGTGTTCCTTACAATCAGTTTCAGAGTGCTCAGCAATCCAGGTACTTGACCCCTACAGCTAAAAGAGAAAAGAGCATGGCTACTGCTCCAACTGGCAGCAGACCTCAGCATCATTCACATGATATTGGTTTTAGGTACATACAGAATGCAAGAGTTTTGAGGTTAAAAAGGCTTCTACCTCAATTTCAGAAGGCCTGGGAAGCCAGGCAGCGTGCTCCTGAGAGGGCAGTGTGTGAAGATGTGCGTGTGAAGCCAACGGTGCAGTGGATACCCCAGAAGTTAAAAAAAACCAGGAGCTTGGATCACCTAGGGAAACCCCAACCCCAACCCCAACCCCAACCCCAACCCTAACCCTAACCCAAGAGAAGCTGTAGGAGTTACAACCGGCAAAAGTGCCATGGATGTGGTCACTCAAGCGTTTGGGATCTCGTGACCAGATTGCTTCAGATGCTGGATGTGGAACTATAAGATCTAATGTTTGTCCTGTTAGATTTTGCACTTCCTTTGGTCCCATTCCTTTGTATCCCATTTGTACCCTTTGGAATGGGAATGTTTACCATGTGCCACTGAATGTGGAAAGTGTTTAACTTTGTTTTCATTTGCACAGGGGCTTACAGCTAAGGTTTGCCTTACATCTTAGAGAGACTTGAGTCTTGGACTTTTCAGCAGTGCTGAAGCTGTTAGGACTTTGGCAACTTGTGGAGATGAACTCAATACCTTTTGCATAAAGGATGTGCATGAGTTTTTGTGGGGCCAGGCGTAGAATGTTATGGTTTATGTTTGGTTGTGCCTCTAAAGCTTCATGCAGTCATGGGGGAGGGCCTTTTGAAGATGCCTGAATCCAGCCTTTGTGATTCCTTCATGGTCTAAGGCTGTGAGTGCTGCACTTGCCTTGGGGCAGGAAGCTTGCATATGAGAGAGGAAGAGGTGAACTTCTTGCTTTTGCCTTTTTTCTTGTTGCCTTGATATCTGCTGCAGCCACCATGAACTGTGACCCTCAGTGATGCCACCTTGCTTCAGACCCAGCTGAGTATGAACTGAAACCTCCACAAACTATGAGCTAAATGAAGCTTTTCTTCCTTCATTTTGGGTATTGGGCATTTTGTCTCAGCAACAAAAGTAACCAAGACATCTCCCAAATAAATAAATAAACCTATTTTTCCAATTCAGAACTGCCAAAACTTCAACTCAGAAACTAAATATCTTACAAATATATGAACTTGTCTTCAATATCTTACACTGGGTCTTAATGGAGAGAGTTCAGTTTTTCAATGTCAAATGGCAGCACCCCATGAGTGTTATCTCTGTGATTTATTGATCTTCAGAAGGCATAAGGATTGTGATCCAATTCTGCTGATTGCTAGCTTTCCCTCACTATAACAAAATGGTAGACTCAGGGTAGTTAGGAAGAAAAGAGGTTCTGGAACATCTGTGTGACTGGGCCCTGGCCTCCATGAGGGCCACCCCCTAATCTCACCCCTCCCCACTCTGTGAGTGTGTGCAGAATCAGGGTTACCTCTCCAGCCAAGAAGAGAGGGGGGAGGGTTAGACTCTTCCCATTTTCATTAGTGTCTGCAGAACCTGATGACTATGCTCCTGGTGGGGAGTTGGTGTGCCTGTGTAATGTGTCTCAGTGTTTTTTCACCCACTTCCTTCCTTCTGTCTCTTGGTCCCCTTCCCACTTGGAAGAGGTCTCCCCGTTTCCCATCACCCTTCACTCTGCTCCCCCTGCCTTTGGTTTCTGTGTATATTTAAGCTCAGTGTGTTGGATTTATGTCACTTAACATGGTGACCTCAACATACAGCAGTACCTCAGTTTGCGAACTTAAGTGTTCTACGATTTTGGAAGAGAGGGTCATGTGTGCTTGCATGGGAAAGACAACTGTAGTCATGTTTGTCACCCAATGTAGTTTGCAAATAAGAACAGAGTTTTGCTCAACACTTCTGTGAAACAAATTGTTGGCAAATGAAAGTGTTCCTGAACCAAGTCCACATTGCTCTTCCCACATGTCTGCCATTCTTCATGGCAGTGTTCCACTTGGAACCAGTGCCAATCTTCTCTCTCCATTTGTCTGCTGACAGACATATGGGCCACTTCCAAGTTACCTGTTACAAACTGTGCTGCTATAAACACCGGTGTGCATGTCCCACTCCAATATGGTGTCTCTATTTCTTCCAGGAAGATCCCCAGGAGAGGACCAGTGGGGTCCAGTGGGGTTTCTGCCCTCTGGGAAGAAGTGCCTCACATCCCCAGTGACCCTAGGACCTCCCGCTCCTTGTCTCTTAGAAGTTCCACCACCCGGGGAACCAAGTCTGCAACCACAGGGATCTTACAAGCTACATCCAAATCACAGCATTCGGCACTGCTTTTACTCACGCCAGCTTATGAGGGTGCTGGAATGCTTGGTACCTACCCAAAAGCCAGAAGCACTCGAGTTAAACTGATATTTGATGTATGAATAACCTATTGTCCTACCTATGCCTAGTTAGTGGTAAACGTAACAGGCAAAGTATTCTGCCACAAAAGTTAAGTGTGAAGTGTAAACTCTTCATTGAGAAGTTAACCTCTCTGCAAGGCCCCATTTCTGTGCTTAAAATCATTGCCCCCAAGATAAAGACCAACACTGAGTATCTTTAATCACCACATTTAAATCGACATCACATGGTTTCTGCTAAGATACACAGAGAACACAGAATTCCAAAGAATGCATAGATTACAAAGAAACAGCAGACAAACTGAAACTGAAGAATATCCCACAAAATCAGTTTATCTTCAAAATGCTATGCCATTAGGTACAGAGAAAGGCTGAAGAACTGTCCATAATGAAGCAAACCAATGAAAGAACAAGGAGATCTGTCATCCCGGATCAAACCCAGGATCCACAAGGACATCTGAGGACAATCTGAACTCAGTCCTAAAGCAGACAGTTCCATCAGTACTGATGACTAGTTCTGGTGGTGGGTGCCACAGGCACGGAGGTGGGTGAGTCAGAGGAGCGTGTCAGCCGCAAGCAGCACACCTTCAACGGTTCCTTGCTCAGTGGAGTGTTGGATGACCAAGGACTTGGATGATTCACAGCTTCTGTTTGCCTGCAAACGAGCCATCAGGAAAGGGCTGAGAGCACAGGGTAATGTGTGGACACCAAAGAATGGGAAGCTACTGAGAGAACCCATGTCGGGCAGGAAAGGGACAAAGGTTCAAAACCTACAGGCCAGCGACAGTACTCAAGGGTGGGACAAAGAGCACTCCCACAGGCAGGTGTTCTGTACGGGTTTGGGCTCAGAAATTAAGTTACAAATCCCGAGGCACCCAAGGTATGGAAGCGTGACGCCCAGTGGCCTCATCCTGTTTGTTAGCAGAAGGTGAGGGTTCTATAACCGACCTTACTAAAAACTAACTGGAAATGCTCTACAGGAAATAAACAAGAACACAATACTGATACAGCTCTACAAAGTGGATAAGCCTCACACACATGGTTTGTGAAATAAGGCAGATGTACCTCAGGGTTTCACCTCTAGGAAATGTCCAACAGAGGCTAAAAACATAGACTTGAATTAGAATGTTGGTGGCCTGGATCTGGGGGCTCTATGCCTCAATTTTCTTACCCAATCAATAGGAATAATAGTAATAATGTCTAATTGGTAAGTGTTCTTTGAAGATAAATGAGATAACACAGGTAAAGCTCAGCTGGGAGGGGCTCGAGGTGTACACCCACACACTCAGCTTAAAAATCTAAAAGATTAATTTCTTTCCAGGCTTAAAAGTTTAACTAAGCCTTTAAAAAGTGAATAATCACATAGTGTAATAAATAATAAGCACAAAAAGTGAAAGTTTAGTTATTTAAAAACTCAGCAATGAACTATATTTCTCCCTAGACCTACAACAGAAAAAGCCTAAAATACAGTGCCACATGGCCCGGGGCACACAGTAGCATGGGAAAGGGGCTCTTTCCTCAGTAGGTGTCACGCCGTGATGTGGACATTACCATGCGACCTCAACCCTGTTCCTGCGGCTTTTCAGCACAAGTACACAAGGTGAAGAGGTGCCGATCCAACACCACCAGACAAAGACACGGTTGCTTGCTCTCAATGCTGTGAAATAACTACTGTTTTGAATGCAGCCTGCACATCTTTGGTTAAACTATCTCCTCACCATCATCAACATTTATATTCTCATATCGGCTCTCAGACCAATTATAAAAGTACTTGCTTTTACTATTCTGATTTCAGAAAAGGTTTCTAACATGAGGCAAAAGTAGACACAGATTTCAATATTTAATAAATTGTATCTTGGTAACATCAAAAACAAGGTTACACTTTAAATTGCATTACAAAAATACATTAGTCTTCACATTAGTTTTACAGGGAAATATATAGTTCTTTGAATATTTAAATATAGCTTTTCTTTAAGCAAAAAAAAATGTTACTCAGAGCCCTAGTTACATAATTTAGATGCACAAATGCGAAAACACTACATGATACTGTCCACATACTGTAAAGAACACAGAACAAAAGTCTATGCAAGATACTGAAAAGGACAAGATCAACAAAATACTCATTATGGTTGTAGTTTGACATTTTACTATTGAAAGAATGTAATGTAATTTTTGACTACACAAAAACCACCAATTGTTTTATCTAATTTGCAAATTAAGCCAACATTTACTTAGGCAAAGGGGCATACCTTGCCTCCTATCAGAGTGTTAAAGTAATTCATCATCAACTTAAAATATACATTTTACAGTTTCAACTCTTCAAATATGCCAGAAATAATGATGGTTACAGAATTTAGTAAATACTTCCAAATTGTTCAACAAAATCATCAGTATTGTATTACACTTTTATATTTTTGGTGATGTAAATTTTTAAAATAAACTTTTTCCCTGTCCTACCTTAAAATGGTACTCAAAGAGTTTCTGCAGGTCAAACACAGTAACACTTTTATAGCTTTAAATTCTGATCACTTGATTTTCAAGAGCTGTCCTCTATGGATATAATCACAATAGACATGATTCCCCGTATTTACGCTGGACATTATCTCCATACACACTCTTGCTTTTATTTTTGTATGAGAAGGTGGTGGAGAAAGAGTCTTCCTATGTAGTGCAGACTAGTCTTAAACTCTTCCTGTCTCAGCCTCCCAAGTGCTGGAATTACAGGTGTGCACTGCCACATCTGGTTGAACTCTTGCTTTTAAATCTACACTGAAAAACTGCAGAAAGTCTATTAATGATACCTAAGGGAACCATGTGTCTATTCCACAGGGCAAAAAGATGCCAATACCTGCAAAGAGAGTATTTTCATATATTGTCTGTGTGGTTCCTTCTTCATAGGTAGGACAGAGCTTTCTTCCTAAGTTAAAATTGGAGGATTATTTTGAATGGGGAGCCTGCAGTAATATTTTAAGAATAGATATTAAACTCTTTGTATATAGGAGGCAAGGTTGAAGAAATGCTATATAGATTGCTTTGCGACTAAGAAATACACATTTGCCCACTTTTTTCAACATAATTACTGATTAAATTTAAAAGTAAAGAAGTTACAATGTAACACCATCATAAACACTCACTGGTTAAATAATAACCCCAAAACAAAATCACATTTATATTTCATTGATTTGAAGGTAGCACATTATCTCTGAAATTAAGACAACACAATGATTCTAGTTTCAGTAAAATATAATAGTCACACAATGTAGGTGACATTGTTTCCCCTTAACATCAATGACAGAAAAAAAGCTAAGCTCTTGGCTTAGCCAGAAAATGGGGTGCATCTTTACCAGCTCACTGGGCACCCTGAAATAAAAGATCTGAATATGATCAAGTACTCAAGACTGACATATTTTATCTGAACTGTTAAAAGGCAATTAGATAGTTTAAGATAAATTATCAAATTAGTTTATCTACAGCTACCTAACTAGTTCAAGATAAGTTTAAGACAAACTAATGTACAAATGGTTTGTTCACTTGTAAAAATGGGCCTTCATTGTTTGTTCAGGTTTTCTGAAATACTAATTTAGTAATGACAACAATTCATGGGCTGTCCAAATAATATTACCAAGCCAACTCAGTTTAAACCATTAAAAAATGATAATGTGTAAAACCGTTTAAGAGATAAGGCCATAAAATTGCCTGGATTTTCTACTAACCCACCAACCCAACATGTAAGAGGAAAGGTGGTTTTAAAAGCCTAATCATACTAGCAAAATCTTCCTATTAGGATCCAATGATGCTCAACAAGAGGTTTATGTGTGTGTCCAAATGAGAAAAGTCACAGATTTGCCTTTCCAACTTACATGATGCAGACAGTGTGTGTTGTATTTATAAACGCACCAGGCACTTTTTAAAAACTGGATTAAAGATAAGGTATCTCATTCTCGGGAGTGCTTTTAAAAGAAAGAGAAATCATGTTTTGTTTCAGTTGTGGTCATTTAAGTCAGTCCTGAAGAGCTGAAAGAACTCTGCAGTTCCTTCTTTGAATTAGCCCTTAGAATCATTGTGTGCTGGCGATGCCACTCAGAAACAAGTGGAATCTAAGTGCACAGGCATTTGCCTCCATTTCTGTACTAATAGCATCATTTTTTGCCATGTTTGCTGCTTTCATTCTGTTAGTGTTACAACTTGCCAGTACAAGACAGAGTTTCATAAAAAATGAGAGGGACATGATTGGAGGGACAAAATGCTGTAAACCATGTTAGATTATATTATGACAAATGAAGCTCTTCTACAGAAAACGCTGGACAAAGTGTGCTTTGAAATTAAAAAAAGAGGAAGTGGGGGCCCTAAAAGCTAATTTAAATGAATATAAAAGTTCTGAAAAATAATATCTGTAGCAAAATATTTTAAGGTCTTTCCCGCCAAAGTTGGGAAAGCTATGTGCACAAAAGTACAAATGTATTTGGATTGAAGTACTGAATTCTCCACCAGCAGAACACAACCCTTCCCATTTTACCTCAGTTTCTTTAGTTTGCTTGAGAGTCGAGTCCTCACCTTATTGCCAGCTGGAACGCAGCATGAGCTTCTCAAGTCGCACTCCCTCACAAGGATCGGCACTTTCTTTCTGTAAGTCTTATGGGCAGGTTTGCTTCTTCCCGAAGTGCTGGAGGAACATAGCACCCAGCATTTCTCGGAGGGCCCTGCCCCAGCTCTGATCTGCTCTTTGAAACAAGCTGCTGAGATAGGGGAGCTCAGAAACATTTTAGCAGCCTCCTTCCTCTTCTTCTTCTTCAGTTTAATGCCATCGGATATTTTCTTCTTGGGTTTCTCTGCGGTAACAGTGGCCTTGGTCTGATGTCGATTATTCAAGAGAACCGAATATTTCAGGGTGTACTTTTTGATGATAGCATTTGCTTTAATCCGAATCCAGATGGACTGCTTTTCTGAAGTGCCTCGGGATTTTTCCTGGAGAATAACTGCTTTACAAATGCTCTCAGGAAAACTTGGCTTAGCATGAGTTTTTTCCTTCTTGGCTTTTTTTTTCTTCTTGCTTTCCAGACACTCATTTATAACTGGTTTTGGACAGGCTTTGGCACCATCATTTGAAGGAGTCACCTGGAAATTACTATACTTTGGAGCCTCGTAAGTGTGCAGATTGTCTATATCCTCTAGAAGTACCCAAGGCTCATGGCTCCCCTCACGTGGCTGTAATTTGTATCGTGCTGTTTTTATGAAAGCTGATAGAGGGAGGCTTTGGGCGGGAGCAAAGCCTCTGGCACCGGGATTTCCATCACTCCTGCTGCAGTGAATGGCAGTGCTCTTGCTTGAGTCAAAGGCTGGCCTGGCTGCTTTCTGCAGAGGCCCAACGACCACTTTCTTAGGCAATGGGTCATTAAGACTGCTGTACTTACGTTTGCCCATGACCTGAGACTGATTGTCACAAGCATCCTTCTTCTTTTTAGATGAGCTGGGGAGTTCCTCTCTCTTCCACTTTGGATCTGGACCGACCCAGACTGAGAAACTGGGTTTCCCAGGCTCCAAAGTTTGAGCACGTGGTATGGGAATTTCCACTGCCCCACTTTGAGCCTCTTGCTTCCATTTCCTGTCACTCTGGAAACACTTCTTTTTTGGTGATTCTTCTTCTTCCTCTTCTTCTTCTTTGAGTATTTTTCTCTTCAGTGGACAACTCACAATATTGGTCTGAGTTGCGTGGTGGACTGAAGGCGCCTGGCTCTGAGAAGCTGGATTCCAATTCTGTTTAGGACGCTCCACTTTTATAGGATTGTGATGGCGCGGTTTATCTGAGGCCACTGTAATGACATAACCCTTTGCAGTTTCACCTGCATGGTGGTCGCCAGCTGCAGGAGTCTGAACAGGCAGAGCATTCTGATCAGAGTGGGGCCACGCAGGCTTCTTCTCCTCCTTCAACGAAACTTTCTTGGCAGAACAGTGGTTGTCATGAGAGGAACCATGGTGTCGACCTTTCTTCCGTTCCTTTACATGGCCCTCAGCTTTGTGGCCATCACCCTTCACTTTCTGCAGCTGTGCATCTCCTGCAGCTGAAGCGGAGGCAGGAGGCAGAGCTTTCTTCCGTTCCTTTACACGGCCCTCAGCTTTGTGGCAATCACCCTTCACTTTCTGCAGCCGTGCATCTCCCACAGCTGAAGCGGAGGCAGGAGGCAGAGCTTTCTTCCGTTCCTTTACACGGCCCTCAGCTTTGTGGCCATCACCCTTCACTTTCTGCAGCCGTGCATCTCCCACAGCTGAAGCACAGGCAGGAGACAGAGCTTCGAGGTCTGGTTGACTAAGATCAGCTTTGATGACCTTTGGTTCTTTGTCCCGGCTCTTCCCACAGGCAACCACAGAGCTGAACGGGTAGTAATGGTACTCTTTTGTGTCAAAGCTTACCTTCCTCCCTAGGCGTGTTTTCTTCACAACTTTCTGAGGCTGCTTGGCGTCAGCCTGTGTGGAAGGATCACGTTGAGCATCCACCCCGGAACCGTGAGATGTGCCACTCCTGCCTGCTGGGTCTGTACGTTTTGGCTTCCGAAGGTTTCCTCCATCAGCAATGTGAGGGATCATGGACCCGCTAGGGCCAGCACCGTCCACTGCAGAGCTACCACTGCTCTCCCAGCTCTTATCAATGAGTCTGGTACGCTTCGGATCCTTCTGCGGCCTGCCTGCACTGTTAGTTTTCTGAGAGGTGCCTTCGACATGAACATTTCCTTCAGCACCACTGGCTCCGTAGCTCCTCCCTTCTTCACCAGCCCCCTGTGACTGGTAGGACACACACGGGTTAGAGGCATACATGTTAAAATCTATTTCACAACCACAAGATTGACAGTGGGAGTCTCCCAGAATAATATAGTCTTTGTTCCGTGTTAATATTCTGAAACTCTTCTTTGAATGGTCACTCACAGATAGAGAAGAGGCTTCGAACCTTAGCTCAGAACCACAGAAGTGACAGTAGCGCATTGCTATCCCAATGAGTTCATTTATGCACCTGGTTCCTTCGAGGATTAAAGGAGGTGGGTCATCAGGATCTGAAATTACTTCCCGGTCACAGTCACTGTCACTGGCCTTCTCATCCACAAATACCACCTCTGGAGGATCAGCTTCTCCATCTGATGACTGGGACTGGTTCACAATAATCTGAAAAGAGACATCAGCATCATCCATCATCTCAGAAGCACCAGGTTCACCTGCCTTGTCTTTCAGGTCAAAAAGCTCCGTGTTCTGAAAGTTGATGTCTTTGCAAGCCACCTGAGTGGGATCAGCTTCTGGCTGCAGGTAAATACTGGAATCACATTCTGCCTCTGAACAGATGGGATAGCTCTCATTTTCCAGGTCACCATAAGCCTCCTTCTGACCATTTATGTCTTTGGCAGATGCATGAGAAGAAGAATCAACCACAAATTGGACAGGAACATCAGAATCATAACTTGTTTCAAAATCAATCAGTCTGTAGCTCTTGTCTCCCAGGTAAACATGGTCCTCCTTCAGATTCATTTCTTCGAAAGCTATGGGAAGCTGTCCCAAAGGCACTGACTGAAAAAGTTCATTAGAATCAAAACTTGTAGAGGGATGAGGGTCACTGCAGTTCATTTCCAAACTGGCATGCGTCTCTCGCAAACTTTGTGGATGCTGAATGGATGACTGAAGAGGGACATTTGAAACATAAATTATTTCAGAACCATCAGGTTCATAGCCCTTATGCTCAAGATAAACATGTCCCTTCTCCGGAAGGTCTGCTTCTTTAAGAGGCTCTTGAATTTCATTAGTCATAGACCAAGAGGGTTCATTAGAATCAGAATTTATTTTAGAATCACTAGGTCTGACATTTTTATCCTTCAAGCCAAGATGCTTTTTCCATTTCTTCTTTTGAATGACTTTGGTTTGGCCAGTCACTGGCTGATGGACATTGGAATCAGGCATAACTTCACAACTCTCAGCTGCACCCTGCTGACCTTCCACATCAACACCTCCACCTCTGCCAGGGGCTGTTTCTTTCACTGTTTTGCTTGGCTGTTTAGCTGCTGGTTGGGCAGAGGTGTCAGCAGAGTTTCCTTCAGAATCTCCAGACTGATCGTTCTTACCATCTCCCTTTGACTTCTCAACAGCTACGTAAGGGCGATCAATTATTGCCTGAACCAAGAAATCTGAGTCCAAAATCATTTCAGAAGAAACATTTTGGCTCTTATATCCCAAGTGCACCCGACCATCTTTTCCCCGGCCTAGGAGCTGAATAGCTATTGCAGGTTGACCAGTGGCAGACTTTAGAGAAACAGCAGGACTAGGTACTGCTTTTGAGCAACTGGGCGCATTGATGTCATGTTGCAGGGTGATAGCTTCTTCTGGCCATAGATTAACTGTGGTAATCGCTCTGTGGTCGTGTTCAGGCGGCGACTGAAGATGGTCAGCAGAACCGAAACTTACTCTGGAGCCACTAGGTCTGCTCCTTTTGTCTTTCCTAGTGACGTGTTTCTTTTTCAAAAGGAACAGAGGAGGTTGGTCAAAGACTGGGTGAAAAGAGCCAGTAACATCCACATTTGCTTCAAATCCTGTCCAGGGAGGACTCTCACCTTCCGGGTAAAGAGAGTCCTCTTGCCAGACATTTGGTGGAGGGTTTTCAGGCATTGAATGAGGAAAGTCATCAGAACTCAGAGTTCGCTCAGAGTCTCCATATTTATCAGTCTTCTTTTCAATGTGCTTCTTCTTTTCTTTTTTTTTAAGAGATACCTGAGGCTCCGTTACCGGAGAATGAGGGATGTTAGGCTTTATTTCAGAGGCACTATATTTAGCCCTTTTGCCTTGAAAATCAGCCTGTTTTTCTTTGGGATGCCAAATATTTTTAACAACTGCTTGAGGCTTTTGAATCACTGACAGAAGAGGGGTGTCAGAATCCAAGTGGGTTCCAGAAACACTGGCTTCGTTTTGCATGTTTTCTACGCACTCTTCTTTCTGAAAGTTGCTGCAATGAATGAGAGCTTCAGGATGTCCAGTGGTTGAAAGAAAAATGTCATGATTCAAATTTAGTTTGGAATCAGCAGGCTCATTTTCTTTGTTTTTTAAGTGCACCTGCTCTTCCTTTTGAGAATTTAGTTTTTTAATGGCTACTTCGGGAGGATTGGTCACTGAATGAAGAGGGGTGTATGAATCCGAATTTATTTCAGAACAAGTGAGTTTTGCATTCTTCCTTTCTAAGGGTATGTATTCTTCTTCCTGAATGATTACTTCTTTAACAGCTACTTCAGGTTGATCATTTCCTGAATGAAGAGGAATATCAGAATCAAAAGTTATTTCAGAAACACAATCACTTTCATTTTCCAGATCAACAGGCTCTTCCTGATAAACAGCTACTTGAGGTTGGTCAACTACTGAGCAAGCAGGAATATCAGAATCAAAAGTTAGGTCATAACTATTTGACCCACAGCTCTCCGCTTCCAGCTTAAAAGGATCTTCTTTTAGTCTTTCAACATCCAGCTGAGACCGCTCAGTAATTGACAGAAGAGGGGAATCGGAATCAAATGTCAACTCAGAACTGGAATGCTCACTGATCTTAGCTTCCACGCCAACATTTAACTCTTTATGATTTACTTCACCTAAATGCCCTTCAGGTTCATCCTTAGCTGACTGATAAAAACAATCATGCGACTCAAAACTTAGACCAGAAATGCTAGATTGAACACTCTTATTTCCTAGATCAATATCTACAGCCTGAGGGTTTACTTCTTTAACTGCTACTTGAGATTCATCAGCCACTAATTGAGCATCAGCATGAAAACCCGTGTCAGGATCATGAGACTCACAGTTCATATCCACAAGGCCAGCCTTCTTCTTTTTCTGAAGCTTTATTCCTCCAACATCTCTCTGGGGCCGATGAGACTCTGCCTCAAGAGAAACACAAGCGAGATGTGCTTTGGCGTTACTTGGCTTACATTTCTTATTTTTGGCTTGGACAGGTCTACCTTTCTGGCTTCCTTCAGCACCAGTTGCTTGGGGGTGGTCAGCTGCTGACCAAGATGAACCATCACTGTCAGAACTTGATTTGGAGTAACTAGACCCGTAGCTCTTATCCACCAGGCAAATGCGAGGCTTTGTGTAATGCTTCTTTTTTGTGACATCCGTGGAGGACTCAACTATGGATTCAAGTGAGGCCACAGAAGCAGCACTTCCTTTGGAGCTGCCTGATCCATAGCTCCTGTCCACCAAATTGATGGGAACACCATTAGGAAAGATTACATCTGCGTCAGGCTGTGGGGGGTTGATGCTGGTTGGCTTTGAGTTAGCGTGATCAAAATTCACTTCTGAACCACTGGAATCATAGCTTTCATCCACCAGGCTTCTGTGTTTTGCTTTTGAAGGGCTTTTTTCTTCGACAAGCACTTGAGATTGGTTGGAAACTTCAAGAGTATCATCAAAGTCTTCCTCTGAGCTTATTTCAGAATAACAAGCTTTATCACTCTGGTCCTGCGAAGCATCATGTGTTTCTTCTAAAACATTTGTTTTTCTCGCAGTGACTTCAGATAGGTCAATTGGTGAAGGAGAAAATGAATCAAAATCAAAACTTGTTTCAGACTCTTGCGACCCACTGCTCTCATCTTTGTCATCACTTTGTTCCTCTTTCCAGAGGTGCAGCTCTTGTACAGCCTTCCGGGCTGAGATGGATGATGACTGCAGAGACTTGCGATCAAACTTGACTTTAGCACTCACTGAGCCCTTTGGTTTTGAAACTGCTGGCTTGTTGTGAATCGTACCCTTTTCTTCCCGGGTGAGACTTGTCTGTGACAGAAATTCTTTCCCATGGCGCACTGGAATTGCACCTTTCAAGATCCGCTTGGGGGTGGCGAATTCTGAGATGCGCTTGGGGATGGCGAATTCCGAGATCTGCTTTGGGGTGGCACCTTCTGAAACGCGTTTTGGGGTGGCGAATTCTGAGATGCGTTTTGGGGTGGCGAATTCTGAGATGCGTTTTGGGGTGGCAAATTCCGAGATCTGCTTTGGGGTGGCGAATTCTGAGATGCGTTTTGGGGTGGCAAATTCCGAGATGCGTTTTGGGGTGGCAAATTCTGAGATGCGTTTTGGGGTGGTGAATTCTGAGATGCGCTTTGGGGTGGCGAATTCCGAGATCTGCTTTGGGATGGTGCCTTCCGAAATGCGTTTTGGGGTGTCACCTTCTGAGACACGCTTCGGGGTGGCGCCTTCCAGGATCCGCTTTGGGGTGGCGCCTTCTGAGATCCACTTGGGAGTGGCACCTTCCGGGAACCGCTTTGGGGTGTCACCTTCTGAGATGCGTTTTGGGATGGCACCTTCCGAAATCCGCTTTGGGGTGGCACCTTCCAAGATCTGCTTTAGGGTGGTGCGTCCCGAGATCCGTTTGGCAGTCCGCACACCAGATGTATTCAGTTTTAGAACTGGGTTTACTGCTACTTTAGAAGAAGATTCCACTTGGACAGGACTCTTAGTGTCCTTTGATTCACGGAATTTAGTTTCACCCTGACATTTTACACCTTTCTGGGCAAGCAACTTATTTGAAATTGCATGTACAGATTTTTTACTGGATTCTTTAGGATTCTCATGAGAAACTGAAGAAGTTTTTGGGTGATGTGAGGGCATATGATTTCTAGGGCCCTCATCTAGCTGCTCAACCTTGTCAGCTTTGCTTGATTTATGTTTGCTGACTGACTCTGATCGAGTTGCTAGTGGTATCCTACTAGTACTCGCGGCAACTGGTCTAGCACTGGCAGACACTGGTCTAGGATTGTCAGCAACTGGTCTAGCATGAAAACTTCCAGGCAGACACCTAGCAGGAACATTACAAATCACAGGAGGACGGATTATGCTTCTCCCACTATTGGAAGGCTGACCAATAACTGCGGGATTGATTCTCACACCACTCTTAATTTTATTCAACTCCAAAGACTGCTGCTGTCCCCTCTCTAGTTTCTGGATAACTGATGGCCGAACCAAAGTCTCCCCTGCAGAGTTCTGAGAGACACGAGGGCGAGGAGGTAATCCCTCAACAGATTCAGAATTCCTGGGGCTTCTCTTTTCAACATCAGTGTCTTCCGGGAAGACCTCATCCAAACGGATCATCTCAGGTGACATGGGATGTGCGGGCATCTCAGGCTGTGCTCTGAAAAGAAAGGAGAAGACTCTGTAAAGATATTCTAGTGTCTGTGTAAGAGTCATAATAAATGTTATTTTCTTTCTATACTGGGCATTCCTTACAGGACAAAGAATCGAATCAATCACAGCAGACCGCATACTCTGTTCCTTTTGGGGAGGTATTACTCTACCAACTGTTCCCTAATAAACGCAAATGGGTTTATTCTCATGTTTAGACATGAGAAAATGCAAGTGAAATCACTTCTGTAGCATTTTTCAGTTATCAGAATAGTAAACAGCAAAAAGTTGGATGGACACAAGTTGTGGGGAGCCACCTGGGCGACTCTCCTTGAAAGAAGGGCAGCTGTCTCCACTTGGGATAAACGTGGCCTGTCTCTGCATATTGATATGTACAGGGCTGGCTGGGCCATTTCTTTGTCCCTTCAATGGGCTCTAAAGCAATGTACATGGGGCTGGCTGAGGAGCTGATTCATAATCTTTGAAGAAGGCAACAGTCACTGTTCCCCACCCAGTGGCTCCTGAAAAACACGTTGAGCCATGTGGGATGGAGACTAACTGCTCTAGGAGGTGAGGTCAGCTCGATCTGAGCCTCAAGAGAGAGGTGGACCAAGACGAGACTCAGGAAAGGGCTCCTGATGACAAGTTACTTGACCTTGTATCCTCCAGATTCCACTTGTGACAAAGTGGATTGGTCTCCTGCATGAGACCATTCAGATGAGTAAACTGGTAAATATATCCAAAGCATTAGGAAATGGAGAGAAGCCTAGCACACAATACGCACCCACAAGATCAACAATTATTTTAATCCACATTTCAGCCATGGTGTAAGGACACAGGCACTTTAATACACTGTTAGCAGGAGTACATACTCACTTCCCATTACTACATAATCTTTACACAGACTGGTAACGGCTGTGAGAACAGTTTAGCAATGCCATTAAATAAATGTACATACTCTCCAACCTAGTAATTCCACTTTTGGCTTATGTGTGTAATTTTACAGGCAGCTGAGTTAGTTAGAAAGATTACAGGAGTCAGACAGAGCCAGGCCCTCAAGGAAGCCAGCAGAGAGGACCAGATGTCTTGTGACCTTGGAGGAAACACACACCTCTTGCTGTGGGCCAGATCTCAAGACAGAAAACAAAATAAATGCAACCACACCCCAAATATAAATAGGGAGTAGGTATGCATCACATTGAGAAGCCAGGAGTCACCATCCCAATCCCCTATAGAAAAAATCACTGATCTGTAAAGAATGTTCACTTGCTAATGACTCGCTTCCCCATTTGTCCCTGATTTGGTCAATACCTGAACAATTAGTCTGATTGGTTGACCATAGTTCTGTCCCACCTCATGCTCATCTGCCTTGCGATTTCCAGTTTTTCCCACCTTAGACCTGCCTCACCTCATGGTTTTACTCTATAAAAATCCTGAGAAAATACAGAATCTTTGGCAACCCACTCGGAACCCCTTCCATCTCTCTCAGGCAGAAACTTTCTTTCCCTCAATAAATATTTCTGACTTTGGGAGAACATGGCGGACAGATAGCAGCAGCTACAGAGGCTCTCTGAAAGACCCAGCTTAGAATCCAGTAATGGTGCGGAGTGAGGAATCCTAAACAAGAGAGGAGATATGCCCTGCTGACCCAAGAATGAACTGGGCTGAGAGAAACCAACTAGAAATGCAATCCTGGTGCTATAACAGTAACAGATAAAGCCTCAGCGTGGAAGCTGGAGCCCGCACCATTGGAAACTGCGATTTGGGTTTCCTGCCGCCACAGCTGCGTCTGAATCAGCTCGGCAGGGAGAGAGACGCATGAAAGTGCTGAGAACAGGAATTGGTGAATGGAGTTAAGAGCTGGGCGGGCAGGGAGCCGTGCATCGACCTCTGGTGAGTGAGGGAAACTGGGACTCTCCCACGGTCTAGGAGGTGCCAACAGAGGACATTCTGAGATGGGGCAGACTTGCTGGAACAGGGTGCTGTAGTGACTTCAGTCACATATCCCCCTCTCAAGCAAGATTGGTGAGCAGTGCCTAGCCTATGTGATGCTGCTGGCTGAGACCCAGTAGACTAGCACAGCCCAGGTCCCAGTGCCTGAAGGTGACCTGGAGGGGCGGGCCCCACATAGGCTGCCTGTTTGGTAACTCCCTGGTGTGCTGCGGTGGGCAGGAACACCTAGTCTGCACAATTCAATCAGACTGTGGCCAACAGGGAAGGAAGCTGGGCCTCCTATATATGCTTGCATATAAAAGGAACAAACAATACGGGAAGAGGGAGCAATAAGAAAGGCCCCTCAGCCCCCAATCCTGAGAAACAGGTAATAGCAGACACCATATCAATAGACATAAAGCGCTATCTCCAGAACCTCATAGACAAGTTCAGGAATGAAGTTATTAATGACCTGAAGCTAGACATAAGCAGAATAGTTAGAGAAATGCTAAACACCACCCAAGAAAAAACAGATGGTGGAATGGAAGAACAGAAAAAGAGGGGAGAATTGTTTGATGGAGAAAATAGAGAAAGCATAGAATACATGAAGCAGGTTCAAAGAGATTACCAGGAAACTAAAAACTCTATCAAAAACTGGCATAACAGCTTGAAAGAAACTAAGGATAGATTATCTGAACTGGAGGCCAGATTTGTAATATGGGAGAATGAAATGAAAAACTTCTTTAAAATAACAAAGAAGCAAACAGCAATAATACAAAGACTAGAAGATGATAAGAGGATCTATAACTTAAGAATTAAGAACATAAAAGAAGAGGTAGGGACACAAACAAATGAACTGCAAAAGCTACTTGCAGAAATAATCCAGGAGAATTCTCCTAATTTAGCAAAAGGTAAAGATACTCAGATGTATGAAGCATTCAGGACCCCAGCCACCTACAACCCAAACAGAGCTATACCCAGGCATATAATAATCAAAATACCAGAAATCCAATACAAGAACAGAATATTAAAAGCCGTCAGAGACAAGAAACAGATCACTTACAAGGGAACACCCATCAGAATTACAGCAGACTTCTCGGCACAAACCATCAAATCACGAAGAGCGTGGGGGGAAATAATTCAAGCTTTGAAAGATAATAACCTCCAGCCAAGATTGATATATCCTGCACAACTATCCCTGGAAATTGATGGAAAAACAAGGTGTTTCCAAGATAAAGAGGAACTAGGGGAATATGCAACCACCAATTCAACTCTACAGAGATTACTGCAGGATATTCTAAAAAAGAAAAATACGAAGAATCCAGAAATAGTGGCGGAGAGGCCACAATGAAGCAGAAAACAAAATGAAGAAGACAAACTGACAACTAATGACAGTAAAAGAGCTCAACAGAAATGAGGCAGAGAAGATTGGATGATAGCAACAGCTATTTTGGAGAAAATGACGTCATAATAGGTAATGCTGAATTAGTATCATCTTGTTTTGAAGTCTCATCAAGCTTTTGCTCTTCTGTCTCCATTGGTCTTAGCATGTTGTATCTTATTGGATTTTATTATATGTGATGGTATAAACAAAAACTTTTATAGACAAGGAGATTATACAGAAACCATTGTTCATCTTCTGTTAGTTTATTCTAAATACCCTGTAATACTGTCATTCTCTTGAATGGTTTTACATTGTTTTGATATATTTGATGCTACAGTATATGAAGTTATACTCAAAGATTTCAAGGAAAGAGACAATATGGTAACTACTTTTATGTTGGGATTATCTTGTGGTAAAACACTATTTTGCTTAAATGGTTATGTTTTCTCTGCGCTGTTTTGTGGTTATGCCCTCTTTTATCTCAATCTCCATTTTATTATTTACTTTTTTATTTTTATCCTTTTAATTAAGGGAAAAATAAATAAAAAATAGTAGGATATATTATAGTAACCCACTTTGATTTACTATTAACTTGATTTGAAGCCCTGTATTGCTCTCACCATCTTGTTTTGACTGATGTTCCTCTATTCTGTTTTGCTTGATAGTACCAGGTTTGAAAGTATAGGCAACAGCTGTGAAGATAGTGGGATTCATTATGACGCCCATTCTGGTTGACTATTATCTACTTTTGAAGACCTGTAATGTCTCCAATGTTTTGGTTTTGTTGGTTTCATTCTTTACTGTTTTGTTCAATTTTATTATAATTGATGATATAGGCAATTCTATTAGAGATAGCGGGAGGCATTATGGTAACCATTGTTGATCACCTTGTATTATGTTTTTACATTATCTGTTATGTCCAACCTTTTGATTTGACCGACTCTGTTCTGTTATGTCACATTTGGTTTTACTCTCTTCCAAAAAAAGCACTAAGAACTGTGGGAGAAATAAAACCCAAAGTGTGTAATAGTCATTGTACAAAAGAGAGGAAAAGAAAGTGCTCTAAACAATATAACTGCATGTATATTTAAGTGTATAAGATAGACAATGATATTACTGAGTTTTGTTGGATCATTGAACAGAACTGTTTGGTCTCACTGTTTGAATGTCCACTATATAAGCTTTAATTTTGTAACTTGAACAAATATTTCTAAGATGAGAATATGTAATCCATTAACTAGTGATTTCCTACTGTTTATTTTTTTTCTGAAATTCTGTATAACTTGTACCCTTTTTCTGCTTTTTTGTCTTTTTCTCCTTAAATAAAATTTAAAAACATATATATATATATATATATACATACATATACATATTTCTGCTCTTAACTTCTGTTGTTCCTAAGATTCATTCTGCAATTTTAGAGAACACAAACTCATTCCAGATAAAGGTCGGAATTTTGTTCCCTATATCACAATGAGGAGTGTACAAAAATACAGCTATTTTGTTTTTATTTTTGGTAATGGCAAAAAACTGGAACCCACCTTAATACTCAACAGTTGTGTACTGGTTCAATAATTAATGCTATTTAATGGAATACAGTATAGATTTTTAAAATTATAAGGCAGCTCTGGTAAGTAATAATGAAGATCAATCACTATAAACATTGGAAGTGAAAAGCAAATATATACAAAATA